AATATATATATATATTATTTAAGCTTACAAAGAATATGTATAATACATAAAATATACATAACACAACTTTAGAAAATGACAAAATGTTTAAAGAGATATAATTCAAGAAATAAAGACTTTAAAATACAGTTTTATTTATTTTTACAGAAAGAGGGTAAGACAAAGGGATCTTCCATCCCCTGGTTCATTCCCCCAATGGCTGCAACAGCTAGAGCTGGGCCGATCCAAAGCCAGGAGCCAGGCATTTCTTCTGGGTCTCGCCATGGAATCTAACAACACGAGACTATTTCTCAGGCCATCAATAGGGAGCTGCTTTGGAAGTGGAGCAGCTGGGACTCGAACCAGCACCCATCTGGGATGCTTGCACTGCAGATGGAGGCTTAGCGTACTAGGCCACATCATCAGCTCCAACAAACGGGTTAAAATATCAACAGGATTGTCTTAGCGTATGCTATTGTGATTTTCTTCTTTTTAAGTAAGTTTGTAATTATGACTGCTTTTTAGAATTAATTTTTCCGCAAGCTTAATATTTTGTCAGGTCAAGGTATCAACACACGCAGGTGGAAAATAGCAACAAAGAACAGTAAAAAAAAAGCAAACAAAAAGATGTAAGCAAAAAACCCTACTGTTCCTTAGGAGTACCGATTGTACCCAAAAAGCAACTCCCAGAATGTGACTCTACATTTTTGTACTCTGTATTGTCACAGATTAGTCAGAATGTATGATATTTGTATTTTGGGGACAGACTTCTTTCACTCAGTAGGATGGTTTCCTATTGTATCCATTTAGCTGCAAAAGACGAGATTTAAGTATTTTTTGTGGCTGAGTAGTATTCTATAGTGTATATGTACCACATTTTCTTTATGCAATTACTCATTGATAGACATCTGGTTTAATCACCCTTCTTACATATTATGATTTGAGCTACTACAAAAATGAATGTACAGGTAACTCTCTCATAAGCTGATTTCATTTTGTTTTATGATTACTTTTAAAAAATCGTTATTTATGCTTATTGGAAAGTTAGATTTACAGAGAGGAGGAGAGACAGAGAGGAAGATCTTCCATCCAATGATTCACTCCCGAAGCGGCCACAAAGGCCAGAGCTGAGCCGATCAGAAGCCAGGAGCCAGGAACTTCTTCTGGGTCCCCCACATGGGTACAGGGTCCTAAGGCTTCGGGCTGTCCTCTAGTGCTTTCCCAGGCAACAAGCAGGGAGCTGGGTGCGAAGTGGGGCAGCCAGGATATGAACAGGCACCCACATGGGATCCTGGTGCATGCAATGTGAGGACTTTAGTCACTAGGCTAGCTCTCTGGGCCCTGTTTTTTGTTATTCCTTTTACAACAGCAAAGTTAAGATTTAATTGAGAAAAAGTAGATCACTTTAACCATTTGTCATGTCCCTTTTTTTATTGTATAAATTTTATTGTTGTTACTTCTTACATATTTGACTAGGGTCAAGGGATCAAGGGCTAGAGGAAGGTGGGTGTGGCCACTGTTTTGACATTCTCTTTTTGCCTTGCTGTGTCTGGCGGGAGGGGAAATGTATGGGGAGAAGCCCCACCCAGCCTCCCAACCATCCCAGGGTCCCCGATGTGGGGCATGCTCCAAGGCTCCTGCTCCAGTGGTTTTGATAGTTCAACAGTTCTGCATTGCTGCCGGTCTTGCTCCTCCAATCATGATGAAATCTCTTCAGAATCCACTGGTTGACATATCCACCTTCGAGCCTCCTTTTGCCCGGGTATTCACTGCCAACTCCTGGCTGGGGTAGTTGATTGGTTTGTTCTGTCCTCCATCCTCTGTTGTGGTACCAGGTGTCCTCTGCAGGATCCAATGTACTGCCATATCCTCCAGGTGCATCTGGATATGCTGCCCAGTGCTCTGTCTAAGCCACCGAGGAGACCCAGCTGTGACAGACCATGGGACCTGCAATTTTCTGTGGTTGGAATTCTGAGTCCAGGGGTTCAGTTGGGGGGTGATTCCCAAAGAAACTTCATCTGAGGTGATCCCCAACCTGATACTTATATGTACATGTCAATACAGGGTCTGGCACAGTCTGTCACCCAAACTGACCTACGTGCACACTGTTAGCTGCAATTGCTGGGTCAGTTGTCTCCAGCCCTCTCTTCTACGCAAACTAATGGGTGTTGCAGTCCAGCCAAATCCTGCCCACCGCAAACCTGGCCCCCAACAAACCTGTGGGAGTTGTAGCTTAGAAATGACTCACAATAGCCCCCACCAGGCCTGCCTTTTGCCTTGGCTCCTGTGCTTGCCAGTATGCATAGCATACTAGTCCTGCCTGTTCCACATCCCATTCAGCTCTCATAGGTTTCACTAGGCATTAAAACCTAGTTTCACCCAACCAGCCCCATTATCCAGTCCACACACTTGTTGGTGGGTGTCATTCTCTGTCTTGCCATACCTGTCCCAGTCCTGGTTCATATTCTCACGAGCTGGAGTGGCTACCCAAGTGGGCAGTGCCCAATGTTTCCTGACTGGGTCCACTCCCACTCCTGAAGCTTGCACTCTCCAGGTGGTACTGCAGTTTAGCTTGAGAGAGTTTTCTCCCCTATGCCACCATCTGCTAGCTGATGCTGCAGCAAAGCCCAATCAACCCTCATGCCCTCTGGCTTATGCATGTACCAGTAGGTAGAATCGGCCCAGCCTGGCTTTTCCCCAATCCAGCTTACATGCGGGCCAACAGGTTTTGTAGCCCTGCCTGGCCTTGTCTGCCCCCAATGCCAGCTCTCCTGCTCACCAGTGTGAATAGTTGGCCCAGCAGGTGATGTCCCTGCAGTCCCTATACTGGATTCACACTCTCTCCTGGGTCTCATGTGTGTTGGCTTGCGTACTCCGACCCAGTCAGGCATGTATAACCCGTCTCCCCTCGGCATTTGACAGTTGGTGCTGTGACCTGACCAGCCCTTTTCTGGTAAGTTCCAGCTCAACTGGAGGGAACTGCAGCCTAGCCCAGCCCGGCCAACCCAAAGTCCCGGCCCTAGTGAGAACTGGGAACCATGTGGCTAGGGGACCCAGACACCTGGGCCGCACCTCTGCTCAGACTTACCTCCCATTTGTCATTTTCAATCTCTTCACTCTTGATTTCCGTGTATTGGTATTTTATAGTATAAAGAGGATCCATTATGAAATTATGAAAAAATTAATTCCAAGTTGCTAATATTGATTACAAAATGATTGGCATAGGAATGGAACAGTGACCTGTGTTAGAAAACAAAAATATAGGAGCAGAAAAGATACTACGCCAAAGTGAATTTTTATACAGATAGTTTAGAAGTTTAGAAGGTTAGCAGAAATTGAGGTTTAAGTTTCAGGATGTTGCACCTGCCTTGTGGCACAGTGCACTAAGTGGTGACCTGCATGACCAGCATCCCACGTGACTGCCTGAGTCCCAGCTGCTGCACCTCACATCCAACACCCTAGTAAAGCACATGGGAAAACAGCAGAAGATGGATCAATCGCTTGGATCCCTGCCAACCACATGGGAGGCCTGGATAGAGTTCCAGCTGCCGGTTCTGACCTGATCCAGCCCCGGCCATTGCTGCTATTTGGAGAGTGAGTCTAACCCTCCAGGATAGTGCTGTGCAAGGAAGTGACAGCTTCGATGCTAACCATTGTTGTGGTCTTTAAGTCAGTCCTGATTAGTAAGCACTTCTGCCACACACACACACACACACACACACACACACACACACATACACACACGACTTTAAAATCATACTTTAAACTCCAAAGATGGGACAAGCATCTTGGCATAGAGGGTTAAGCTGCTGCCTGTGATGTCATCATGCGTATGAGCGCTTCGAGCCCTGGCTCCTCACCTTCCCTTCTACTCCCTGCTGATTGCAGCTGAGAAGGCAGTGGGTCGTGCCCCTTGGTATCCATTTGGGAGATGAGGATGGCGTTCTGCTCCTGCCTTCAGACTGGCTGCTGAAGATCAATCCATGGATAGAAGCTTCTCTCTCTCTCTCACTGTGCCTTTCAAATAAATAAAGCAAATCTATAATACACACACACAGAGCAATTGATACATTTTAGGGTAAAACAATTTTTCTGCTTGAAGATTGATATGAAGTGAACCAATGGTACATTTAGTCCCTTTTGAAAATCATTCTACCATTTCCAAAGTCAATTGTTAAGACTCTGTGGGTCTGTATACGGTGGTGATGTTTGCTTCTGTTCATTGACTGCTGTCTCCGAATCCAGATGGGACTATAACCAGCTCACTTTCCTTCTGATTGGGTCAGGGTTGCTATAGCAGCTGGAGCTTGGTATGATATCTGTCCCTGAAAAGGGGGGCTCATTCATCCTCACCCCAGAACACAGAAGCTTTATTTTCCATATGCAAATTCCCACAGAAAGTTGGTACAGGACTTTAATCATTGCCCTTTAGTTGATGAGGCCTCAACGCAATCTTTCTTTTCTGGGTCAGTTTTTCTAATTGATTACTGGACTGGACTCTGACCTGGAATACTTTTTAAACAAAAGTGTAGGTGGCCCATTTGCCCAAAATAGCCATGTACTATGTGCTTTCTCTGGAATATGCTGATCTGATTTCCTTGTTATAAAAAAAGAAAATATTCTAATTTTTTTTTTCAGAAGCTGTAGAAAATGGCTAACCGATGTCCTCCAGAGCAAGCCTTAACATTTTCACGGAGCTTGGGTCTTATGGTAGGTTTTAGGTTGTGGAGCCTAAACAATGATGAGCAGCCTCATTAGCTGATCTTCTGTGTGAACACAACGCACCTGAGAACTGATACATCCATGAGTTATTAATGTTGAACTTGGCTAGCCTCTACAACTCAGCCTACTGACATACATGTGTCCAAACATGAATCCTAGATGAGTGATTGCTGATGACCCCTGAATACGTTCAACTCTGCAGGAAAAGCTTACTATTGGAAGCTCCTTATTTTATTCCCTAATTGCCAGGGTGAACACCCAGATAACTGATTGAGTTGGACCCTCACAGCTGGTGGTATAGAAACATCCTATTTTTTTTTTTTAAGGAAACTTTACAGATTGTGCAGGGGCCGTGTTAATCTTCTATGTATCATTCCAATTTTAGCGTATGTGCTGCTGAAATAAGCACATTATTTTATTCTTTTAATAGTTCTTAATAGTTGATTTGCAAGTAAACAATTGTGTCAACTAACACTGGGAAAGGAAAATCTTCAGATTCATTCAACACTTGACTTCTTAGATTTTTTTTTTTTTAGCATTTAGAATTGTTATGATGGAATAAACCTGTCTCATTCCCAATTTTTTTCCTAATATATCACTGACTGTTACTATTTTTTTTCCCTAATGACTTCAGGCATAAATCATGTATAAAACTAACCAATAGAAAAATGCTGACTTATCTGGTCTCCCCATCAAATAATCTGGGCATGCTGATCATAATCATTAAAAAAGATGCAGTCTTGGGCCCGGCGCGGTGGCGCAAGTGGTTAAGTCCTCGCCTTGCACGCCCGGGATCCCATATGGGCGCCGGTTCTAATCCCGGCAGCCCCGCTTCCCTTCCAGCTCCCTGCCTGTGGCCTGGGAAAGCAGTTGAGGACGGCCCAAAGCTTTGGGACCCTGCACCCGCGTGGGAAACCCGGAAGAGGCTCCTGGCTTCGGATTGGCATAGCATCGGCCCGTTGCGGCTCACTTGGGGAGTGAATCATCGGATGGAAGATCTTCCTCTCTGTCTCTCCTCTCTGTATATCCGCCTTTCCAATAAAAAAAAATAATAAAAATAAATCTTTAAAAAAAAAAAGATGCAGTCTTGAATCCCATAATCCCACATTCTGAGATCCTGGCAAACTATTAATAAGGCAGAGTTAGAGACAGAGAAAGAGAGATTTTTCATTAGCTGGATCACTTTCCAAATGTTCACAACAGCTGGGGCTGGACTAGGTCAAATCTAGCAGTCCAGGATTCATTCTGAGTCTTGCACATAGGTGTTACGGACCTCAGTATTTGAGCCATTTTTTGCTGCCTTCCCAGGTGGGTTAGCAAGGAGCTGGAACAGTCAGAATTCTGGTATTCACGTAGGAGACAACCACTGCATCGCCAGCTGCCACCTGGCCAGCTGCCTCAATGCCATTCCCGCAAATCAGCCTTGAAAAGCAATCTTTTGAATACAAAGTCAAAACTTCCAACAATACAATTCGTGCTGTAAGGGAGGGGGTAAGGAAAGACTATTGAGGTTTTATTTGTTTAAATTTTTTCCCATCACATTAAGCGTCAACACTGTTTTTCAACTCCATGCTATGTATGTCAGTTTTGCATAATTCTTAATTAATTAGTGGAGGTGTAAATAGTATGAAGAGTTTTAGAGTGATCTAATTCCTATGTATTTTCTGTAGACTTGATTCCATGAAAGCACCTTATCATGCATCACCATTGTGAATGTAAGTAGCAACACAGATGTATCCAGTGAACAATGTCCTTTTTGTACATATGCCTTGGTAAAATATAACATTTCCAAAAGATGCCCACATCTGCATGGTGACCCATCCAGGGTTCTGATTGATCTTGTCAAAAGATTTAGGCTGTCTGTCACATAATTTCAGATGACCGCAGATTTAGAAACATTCTATTCATTTATGACTGCAGTTTTAAAGCTGGGTGCATACAATTATCAGTGTGGGGATATGCATTTATACATCGCCCTTTTTGACTGATTTCTTTGTGAATTCAGTTCACATGCTGGTAACTGTTATGCCTCTGCAACTGTCATTAGTAGAACGGGATGTTTTAGCTTGCAGAATGTGCTATAATTGCCTGTTTTACCGTGTGGTGTGGCCTGGGAAGTGTTCGGTCATGTTTTAATATCTTTCCAATCAAAATCCTTTAAAAATGTATGTAGGTGTTCTTAAAGAAATGCTATTGCTTTATTTGGAGCTATGTTTTGGCAATTTTTAATCTTTGGAGATTTTTTATTTTGGGAAACTGAGAAGATAGAGATTTGTTGTAAACTTTTATCTGAGATGCAGAAAGAGAGAGTGGGCTAGGAGTAAGAGAGAGAGAGGTCACTCCAGTCTGCTGGTTCACTCTTCAAGTGCCTGGGACAGCCAGGAATGAGCCAGCCCCAAGCTAGAAGCCAGGGACTCCATGTCGTCTCCCATGTGATGTCAGCGGCCGATGACTGAGCCATTGAATGCTGGTTCCTCAGATGTGCATGAACAGGAGGCTGGGATAGGAAGCCTGAGCAGGCAGTTCAACATGGATGCTCCAATTTGGGATTGGGAGAGTCTTAACAGTTAGTTTAGTTCTTAGACCAAATGCCACATCCGACAGTAGGGATTTTACTCTGTTGGGATCATGGCATTCACAGTTGGGTGGTTCAGGTCCTCATAATTGAATACTTCCCAATTTTGCGATGTTTGAAAACAACCATTTCTACGTCAATGGTTTTGTCCTTTGTATTTCACCTGTGCCCATCTGGAGGAGTGGATCTCCTTAACACCCCCGGAGGAAGCCCTGGTTGCACTTGCTCTTTCCCGTCCCCAGTCTAAGCTCAGTTATATCAGCCATGTATACTTTGCACAGTGAACTGAGTGCACAAGGATGGATGGTGCTTGGTTAGCAGTTGCTCCCATGATGCCTGGTTCCCCCAACCCATCATCTTCTTCACCCATGAGTTCCTGTATGAAAACGATCGCAGAAGTCTGAAAAAATGATTAAGCAAAATTCAGACACTTTCTTTAAAGATGAGAAGTACTTCACAACTGTTATTGTTAAACATTTATTAAAATATTTTAATTTTTAATTTCTATTTTTTCATTTTTACCTTGTAAATATGTGGCATATTATCTATAGAATTGCTGTGGGATAATCAAATATGCTGGAAAATCTTTCATTTGGAACAAAATTAATATGATGATTTAAGTCAAATGACTCTGTGAATTTTCTCATGAGACTTTAAACAAAATTAAGCCCAAACTAACCAAAACAAAGTGATCCAAACCACCCAATAATAGTGACAGTTTTTCCAATTGCCAATTCATTTATTATTTTTATCATATTATGAGGAGCTGCAGTGTGATTAGTAGTATGAATTTTGAAGTTCCAGATCTGGACCAAAGTTTCATCGTAGCCAGTTAATAGCTGTGAAATGTTGGGGAAGCTGTTTTAGTTGTCAAATACTGGGCAGCTATTTAAGCCTTTCATGGTTCAGTGTTTGCATCCATAAAACAGGATAATGGGAGGGCCAAGTATGACAATCTGCTTTAGAAGAGTGGCACACTCAAAATACATGTTAACTGCGAGTTATGAGTCATGGCTCACATGCTGACCATCTCATCTATCCAAATCTGTGATCTTTTCTCAGAATTTACACTGACTGCTTGCTGTCTGAGCCTAATTAGTTGATGTCTCTGTTGTTAAACATGTTAATGTCATCCTCATGTAATTGTATGTTGTAACATATTTCAAAGCAAGAGGGAAAAAGATGAGATGACCTCAATTTTTTAACTTCTGGAATAATTTACAACCTCACTCCTATCTTGAAAAATACATCTTCTAATAAAAACAAAACCATAAAGAAGCCAAGAATCAGTGAAAAAACAATACTGTTTTTGGAGGCCATTATTGATATGTTCTCTAAAGACATATGATATATGCTAAATAAGAAAAAAACAAGCAGTAACTGCAAATAAAGATTTAAAAATACAGTACTAATTTCCAAAAACCTTTCCTAACAATTGAAATTTAGTTTCTGCTTGTTGATATCCTTGACTGCTGTCTCTCTATATACATTATTTTTTTATTCATCTTCTGTTAATTAAAGACAAACTTCTGTTGCTTCTTCATATTTCCCTTTGTGTCCATCTTTTGTCTTTCCCATTCCATTGATTTTTTTTTTTCAATCTACAGAGCAGATATAGCCTTTGTTGAGTTCTACATAATAAGAAATTGCTTCTAGTCTTGGCTTGACTCCTAACATGCTGTGTGACTCCTTTCTTCCCTTGTAACCTGTCTGGTCTTTCATTTTATCTACTGCTTTGATGGTATTAAATGAGTGAATGGATTGTAATAATTTTGTTAAAATAAGTCTGACTCTGTTCTTAGGGAATTGGATCAGATCTTTTATTTGAAACAGTTAGAAGTGAACTAGGCTCTGTTGAAAGCATGTCTCTGAATGTGAATCCCATCTCCGCCAATGAATCGTTGTACAGCAGTGGCTGGGTCATTCCACTTCCTACCTAGGTTTTTTTTTAATCTTTAAAATAGGAATAAGATATGGAATATTGAATAAGATATGGAATATGGAATAATTCTATCCATGCAGGAAAGAATTGAGCCCTGCCCAAATGGGGACAGGATGGGTATCGGATTATTTTGCTAGGCTACTGGAGATGATCTCTAAGCCCTTGGAATTTCTTGCCTGGTAAGAGTGACTTTGTTTACCTGCAAGCTTTAGACCCTGCCAGATGTGATTTACAGATGGAGGCAGTGAGTTCCTGGTGTTAGCTTGACTTACGAAGGGATTGGAAAGTGAAGTTAGTTGCATGGGTAGACGGTAGAAACCCAGTGTAGACTCTGAGCATGAGAACTGGGGAGAGCGTCCCTGTGTGACAGGGTTCTGTTTGTATAGTGACATGTTGATGCTAGGTTAGTTAGCACTGTCCATGACTTCACAGAAACAAATAAGTTCAGTGTTAGAAATACTCCTGTACTCTATGTGCACCTTCCCTTTGCTGATTACTGTCTGTGTTCCTTAGCTACAAAAAACTGTAAGTGTGTGGGTAACAGCTTTCAGGGACTTCCGGGAGATCTTCCCGTGAATTGTCAATATGAAGGGTAGTCTTGAAGATTCTGAACTTAGAACCAGAGTTGGGGTGAGTTTAGTCTTCTGGGATATGCTTCCTGGAGCTTGTACTATCTTACAGGGGCTTTGTGGATGATTGACTCACAACAGCCCTCTGTGTTAAAAAATTGTGACTAGCGCTTGACAAGAATGACCTTAAATAAACCAGCTACCGTAGTAGTGATATGGAGGACTTGGGAAGTCACTCAGCTATGATTGCCAACTTCACCAAATGAAAATGCAAAGCACACAAACTCTAAAACATTTTGTTCATCCAGTATTCAAATTTGGCC